CGCTCAGCTAATGTGCAGAAAATGAGAAGTGGAAAATTTGAGCGAATCAGGATGTGTTGTGTTCAGAGGATGACAATTGGTTTTGTATATTTTGAATACAAGGATGTGATGCCTACCAAATGGCTCAGCTGTTTTCACAGTGAAATGTTACCTCTGTCAGTGGGCGACAGGTGTGACAGGTCTTGTCGATTTAATTAGTGGTGTTCCTGTTGCCAAATGAGGCCGGGTTAACAGTTAAATGTTTTATTAGTTTTTTAAGCCTCTCTTTTTTGTTGGCTCTTCAGTTATGGGGAAGGTGTTCTATATGGTTTTTATAGTGTTTTGTTGAAGTTACCTCTTTCCCAGTCTGATTAAAATGTAGGTTATTCAAGTGCAAACCGTGGCTGAAATGGTAGGTAGTAAAACCACACAAGGGAGCATGACAGCCGGAATGAAAAACATGCATAGTATTAAATTTGAGCTATGCAAACTGGTCCCCCATCCCCCGTGATCTCTTTCAACTCGCACTGGACTCTTTGCGCTCACCTCAGTTTCTCATCAAGCAGCCATATGTGGTTTCCCTATTAGAAAATGGGCTTTTGAGCCTTTCCACATGTGCACATTTCAGCTCTGACTCAGTATTTTGTGGTCACATATTGATATTGCACCATTTCATCACTCTCCCCACTTTACGTTCTCTACTTGGGTCAGGCTATCAAGTATTCCTCTCTCCTCAATATTTTATGACATGATGCCTTCCGCTGGCTCAGTGGAACGTGTCAAATCTGATCTGTAGTCAGTGGCCTTTGCCCTTGAAGTGGGAGTTATTTAGTGATTTTTGTTGTTGTTACTGTTTGATAGGATCAAATGGCCGTGTGAAATGTTCATTTGAAATATCTGACATGCCCTTGAGAAGTTATAGCACAGTGGCTTGTGTGGGGTTAAATTTTCTTGTAAATTATGTATTGTGGTCACATACTGTACATCGTGCTTTAATATCTAGCTCTAGTTCAGGAGGAGAACAATGAATCACGCTCTATCATTATGAATCTCTTCAGAGGATGATTCACTGTATGAGACATGAATGGCTTTATATTACATGGTTATTGCAGTGGTGGTTTTTAAAAACAGCAGAGGAAAAGACGCAAATGAAACTGTGCTTTAATGCTACTCATTTTGTTATTCCTATAGTCAAGGACAGTTAGGATGTGTTTACAGTCACACTTCTCTAACATGTAGCTTTTCAAGACAACATTCTGACTGGCTGATTTTATTTTAATTCTATAATGATTATGTCACAACTTGAAGTGGATGTACAGACTTACCAGAATTTGAGATCTGTATTCCTTTTTTTTGCCTTGAAAAACAAAATAGGGATTTGCTTAATTTGATTTTATCGTTCACTGTCACACTCCATATAATTTATTATCACCTCTATCAGCTGCCTCACCTGCAGGTAGAACAGCTGATAGTGATGGACAGAGGGATGAATGATGCTGCTATGGTTGTTGACACTCTAAACTGGGAAAATAAAAATGGGGTTGAGGGATTGTTTCAGTCCCTATGATAAACGGAGGGATAGATGAGGATGAGAGAGCAGGAGATGTGCCAACATGTGCTGAATAAACAGCTGTTAGGGAACGATTTGGAGGTTGTGCGTGTGACTGTGAATGCACGCATGACAGCGATATATACGCAGGGAGTAGCACCACACACACACAAACACAGCACGCATTCACACATGAGAGGTGGTAAACCTTAATGGCAGGTTGGCCAAACAGAATGGTGTCTAGCCACAGGCATTTTTCTTAGAAACAATCTGACATTAAGTGTGGTCACAGACAGTTGAATCATGGGATTTAAAAGTCTCTGAAGATTCAAAGGCACATCTGCCCTGATGAAATGAGAATAAACCTGGGTGGGAAGCATTTGGATTGCACCATTTTGCTATTGCTTTGGGTTCTATAAGATCTGTAAAATAGACAGTAAATAGGTGATATTCAGTAACCCTAACAAACACTTCCTGTTGGGAACCATAGATTATTTCAGGCCCGATGTGAATAAAAAAATAAAACAAACACTGTGGAAAAAAGCTTTTTCTGTCTGTTATCCTTGGAGGAGCCTTACTTTTACAAATGTCCCCCCTGGCATGTTGAGCATTGCATCCTCCCTTTAGCGCTATCTAACACCATCACTGTCTTCCATAGTGTGTGTGCATTTTATAATTAGTGTACATGTCATTCTTGAGCAAAATGTAATATCATTACTGTGTCCCACAGTCACCTGGAGCGATCAGATCAGTAATGGTTTCATGGAGCTATGCTTAATGTGATTTTAGAGATAGAGGTGCAAAAAGGCTACAAAAGCTGCCTGTGTTGTTTTAATCCATTTCCCAGGAAACTCCTGCTTGTGTCATTTCTCTTTCTCTTTTTTGTGTGTGAGGACATACAGATGGCTAATTACTGGCAACTCATTTTCATGACGTCATCCCATCCCCCTTTACTTTGCTTTTATCTGACAGGCTTCCCATCCTGACTATATCCTTTTTCTTCTCTTTCCCCATTCCCTCACCATCCCTCTAGAGACCAGCCTTAGAAACTAATGGGCTGAGAAATGACCTTGGTTTCCTCCTTTTGCTCAGTGTCAGTTTTCAGTTTCAGCTCTTATGTTTATAGCTTCCTCATAACATGATGAAGTACTTGCCGTGCAGGGCGTATTTCATTTGTAACTTAAATGCCACTCATATTTTAAATCCTCATAAATTGCCTACCTTTAAGACTGCATTCTTGTTATTTAAAGAAATACCTGCCATCCATTGCCTCCCTTTACAACCAGTGTTTTTGTTGGTCCTTGGACAACTTCCACGCCTAATGCCCTGTTTTTACTCTGAATCTAGACCCTGGCCCTTCAGTGTTAGAAGGCGTATGATCCAGATGTCAGCACAGATGATGATGGGACCAAACAGACCTCACCACATCATCTGCCAACTGCACTGACATCTGCATACATACTAGTACCTTTGTGGTCAGTCAGAAATAGCCGCTAATTCAGCACTGCTGTGTTGTCAAGACTAAACCCTGGAAAAAGTGTCTTTCTCCTCATCCTTACAAATGCCATATAAGACTGAGAAGCCTTGGTTTTGGTTGTTAAATGGTCGCTCGCTGCTCCCACCTAATTTGAACAAATTTCTTTTAAGTCTAGCAAGAATGGAAAAGTGTGGAGGCAGCACTAGAAAGTATACTGAAGATATAACATCATCTCAAAGGTGTTTGTGCTGACAGGGTGTGCTACAGTAAATACTACTGATTGCCTTGACTCATGCTTTCGAAGAAAGGCCCATAATTAGCAGCACAATCATCTCGTTGTTTGACTTGTTGTCTTGAAGACCAAAAGAGTCACCTATATCCATTACATATACTGTACCTTTTGCAGCAATTCTGATAGGAAATGATAAACATACTGAAAATGCTTTTCATCAAAGTTGCATTATACCACTGGTAATGTTGCACTTGCTGTGAAAGCAAGAACAAAAAATGTAATTTTCACTTGTGCAAAATTAGTAGTTTTGTGTAATTACTAGCTTGTAGACTGTCATGCCATAGATGTTCCATTTACATCGAATAAATTGAATTGGTAATCACTTTTTTGACCTAGAAATTTTGTTTCCAAAGACTATAAAGTTGTTTTCTTTATGTATGACATGCATACAGTAAGTGGCTCATGAATGCTTAAGGCAGATGATGGTAACGTACTCTTGGCTGCAGCATTGTGGAGAAATGTCTTAAGTTTTGACAAAGTTTTTCATTGTTCGGTGTAAAGGAGCCTATAGTTGGTAGAGAGAGCTCTTTATCTGTGAGGATAAAATATCCTCCTCAGATATTTTGGCATGTCATAGCAGGAAATGCACAGGTTTGATAACATGAAAATCATGCTGACTTATAGGTCTGGCTTACTGAGACACTAAATGAAACTGAGGCGTTATTAATAAAATTCGTTTCACCTGTTTTCATTCTATGACAGGTCTGTATGTCTGCAGTGAAAACAGTCTAGTCAGATCCGGTACTGGAGTTTCACTGCAAATAAAATAATTTTGACATTGTATAAATCATGATTCATACTGTTTGGAAGAGTATTCGGAATTTCTTTGCTGTATTAAACCTTTTTTTAGGAAATTGCTTTTCAGCGCCAGCAATATTTTAATAGTTGTCTGAAATCTTGGACACAGCTGGAAACAAGCCTCTGAGATGTGAGCATTGACTTGTGACATACAGTATAAACTAATAAATCCTGTCTTATCGTTTCCTTACAATTTAACAGCCCTGTCAAGCTGTTTCATCTGTTTCAGACCTAAGCACAGTAACACACATTCAAACATTATTATTTGGCAAATCCCCAGAAAAGCTAGAATGCTGCCCTTCTGGCTGCTGGTTTGCTTCACTGGTTGATGTCCTGTATGTTTGACAGTACTTGCTCAGGAGCAGAGATCACTTCCTCCGTCTTGTCTTGCTCGCTTTACAAACCATTAGGCTACTGAAACATGCATTAAATTTGTGTAAGGCAGACCAGAGGTTGACCATGCTCAGGTCAATATGTGTGGGAGGTTGACAGCTGCTCAGCTCTGGCTCTGCCTGCAAAATCAAAGGTTAAGAGGAATCATGAAACTGATAGGTCTCTTTGGGAATTCAGTCCTAGTGAGACGATACAGCTCAGCCTCATTCTTTCATGTCTCCCCTCTCCGAACAGCATGAGTAGTCCTTAATGGCCCAGGATGATGTGACTGTTGCAGGAGCTAGTCACACATGGGGACTGAACATGACTTAAAGTACTGCTGCTAAAGACGGGGGAAAGTCCAAGTCTCTCTCCTCTGTCAGTCAGCCTCGTACTCGTCTTACTTCAGGTTTTTCTACCTTTCATGCTCTCGTCTTTAAATGTGAGCAGTCAAACTGATCAGATTCTCACCATCCTGTACATGGCCTAGCTTTATTCTCTAACATCTGTCTTCCTTCTGTGTCATGTTTTAGCTGCTCCATCGTCAGCTACTTTCACACCTGGTCCCTCCCTCAGCTCAAGCTCGTCCTCCCTCCCTCTCTGTCTCCTATTCATGCAACAGCTTCATTTCAGCTACGTTTGTCAGGTGGCTCTCTCCCCCATTCATCTGCCTGGCCACTGATCGGATACACACTATTGCTTTGTAAGTGGTTATCCTTTTTTTTAACTATGCTCACCTCCCTCTTTTCTGTTCTTCAAGGAACCACCAACTGTTGCTGTCTGCAGTATGGCAGAGGCTTGCTAGAGACAGATGTGATGATCACACAGGACTTAAGAAATATCAGTCATGACTTGTGCATAGCACAGCTTCAGCATGAATGGTATAGGTTTTCAAAAAGCATCATGAGAAATTTGACTACTATATATGGAGCACAAATTGGAATGTAGAAGAACTGACATATTTGCATTGTTTTCTGGTTCTGGGGTTTCAGAAAAGGTTTGGCCTGATTGTCTTTTTAACATGTACAGTAACTACAGGGACCGATGCATGTAGATAAGATACTCTAAATATGTGCAGTATGCAGTTAAACCAAGCAGAGGGGTTTTACACAAAAACCTGCCGTCACCATAGACCTCAAGTCCTGCCTTGAGCATTTCAAGAGCTGTGCCAATGCTGCCCACTCAGTGTTAGCCAGGAGGTATACTACTGTTTCAAATCTGCACTAAAAGGCAGAGGTAACTAAGCACAATTACTTAAGTACTGCACTTATGGTGAGATTATTATGATCTGCTGATTTACAGCAAACACTGAAACCAGAAATTGGCATAATGAGTTCCTTACAAGGAGGCTACAACTTTCAGAATTTTCCCGCTCTAGCCTGTTTTTGTTATGTGTCCCTATAGTGAAGATGTCACAGTGGTAGTTGTCACTGTGGAGCCCACCAGCAGCACCCAGCCTGTCACAGAAAATTCAGAGTAGAGCAGGTAAAGGTAGAGCAGAATGACAGGAAGTAATGACAGATGATACAAAGGACCAAGCATAACAACTATTCCAACGACTGAGATGGGCTGCATGTGCATATTTTTGAACCTACAAGTTGGAGTGAGTTGTGTGTTTAGTGTACAGTAAGTCACATGCGATAGTAACAGTCTCCTTGTCTGTGGTGTTGACTCTGCCACTAAGTTCAGGATTTTAAGTGATGATTTGTCTGTGGTCTTCCACTGAACCCTGTTGTTGTATAAAAGCTTCCTGTGTGTTTCTTTACTCAACCGCAGAGTTATGCCATATCCAACACACCATATTTAAGAAAAACAGAGGTCTTGCATCTTGAGATCTTGCTTTACTCTCCTGAGGTGTTAGCATAGTTTCCGAACAAAATTGGTATGGTGTGTTCACTGGATTACACAGTTCTGCTAAAATGCCATAAAGTATGACAGAAAGGTTGACAGTTGTCATTATGTTGTGTAGTTACACAGTAAAGTAAATTGCAAACAACACATGCAACTGTTGTCTAGTCAGTGTGGTCTCTTGACATGTTTTGCTTGAATAATGATTGGATTCTCAAGTCATTGAACCTTAATCCTGATTTCAAGTAGGTGATGCATTTCACACAGTTGCGGTTAAATGACTCATTCACAGTATTTTTATACCAAACACAGGTACTAATTTTGATTCCTGTGTTTGTGTTCCTGGTCTGTGTTTTTCCATGATCGTCGTCCTGCAGTGATTCCACAACAAGCTATTAGCTCAGCCTCTCAGCAGCCAGTGTTAATGGGAGTGAGTCAGCAAATGATGCTCACAAAACCTGCTCATGGACCGGGGGAAGGCTGACAGCAGTCTGGGAGGTCAGGTGTAAAGCATCAAGAACAGCCATAGGATGCCAACAGATCAGTGCTAAGTATTCTGATACTGGACCGAACAAAGCCCATCATACACACAGTCACATATCATACACACAAAATATATTTGAGTGTGGCTCAGATTGGGGCGGCTGTGGCTCAGGAGGTAGAGAGGGTCGTTTCCTAACCGGCGGATTAGCGGTTCGATTCCCGGCTTGTCCAGTCAACATGTTGAAGTGTCCTTGAGCAAGACACTGAACCCCCAGTTGCTCCTGGTGATGTCACTGGTTTGGGAGTGTGAATGGCCAAATATTATGAAAGCGCTTTGAGTGTGCTGTAAAAGCATAGAAAGGCACTATACAAGTATAAGACCATTTACTGACTGGGCATCTTTTGGCCTTTAAACAACTAATTTATCCCTTTGACACTGTAGTTCAGTGGTGACATCAAAGAGAAATTTAACAGTTGCTTTTGGGAAAACAGACATTATGCACTTTCAGTCATAAAACCAGCAGGGAGTTTTATTCACCTACACTGTTGATATTGAACACACCTTTCAGACATCAGCCATAACAGTTATTTTTAATAAACTTGTGCTTTGAAATAAAGAACTCAGTCAATTAAAAGCCTGTTTATTGCAGTGCGTGCCAGTCAAAAATTCAGACTGTCAATGTGTCAAAGCAGCAATACACAGTCACAGCATCCCAGCAAGTCACCTCTCAGAGGAGCCAAACCAGTAGTGTGCTGTGAATCCTGTGGAAGGAAATACAGTTGGCATGTGGACTACTGGAACCAGCTGTTGTTTACTAGCTACAGTATGAGCGAGGGATTGTCGTGAATAGATTTCACAGAGGCAGGGATGTGTGTAACACACCTGCATACACCCCACTTTGTTTTGCACTTGTCAGCTGGCTAAAATTAGAGTGTTAACCAATACAGCCTCTGAGGAGGAATGCCACAACACAGTGTTGATAAGATGAAGGTTTGGTAGTCCTGGTTGTGTTAATCAGTGATCCACTGACCCATTTAACAAGTGGCTGGCCTGACAACTGATGGTGCGTTTGTGGGACAGCTCTGATAGTGTAGGAGGACAATGCTAAATAGAGCAAACATCATTCTTCAGTGTTTAAATAACAAAAACAAAACTAAGAGAGCATAGGATGAATAATTCTGGTCTTTAGAGCATTCAGATACAAATATTTTCTATTATGAAAATGAATTCTAGCTCTTTGGGGCTCACTTATTGACCCTTTAGCTGTTCCGTGTGGCACTTATGACATCTCAATAGCCATTAGCTGGGTACTTACCCAGGACCACAGCTAATGACAGAGAAGATATGTCTCCTGACTTACTATAAAGCTGCAGCCCAGCTCTGGTCAAATGAAAATTAAAATTTTTTTATAACTTGGGTGTTATTTTTGTTTTGACCAAATTGTCTGAACATTTTACCCACCAGCTACATTGCTGTCATCTGGAGACTGAGTGACATCACTAGAACAATTCACATGATCAGATAATCATACAGGTTTTAAACACTTTTCACTGGTTTTAACTAAAGATATCACTTTATATTTAAGAGTCTAGCTACAGTACTTTTAAAAAATTTATTTTCCTCATGCAGTGACAAGCAAGCTCAGTGCTTGGTGCCTGAGATTTGCCAGAAATGTTCATTAAATTCCATCAAAGCTGTGGGAGTTGTGGGATGATGTTCTGCATAGCAATGAATGTTGCATAAGAGACTGGGTAATTGTGTCACACTGTTGGTCAAACAATTGTGCGTGTATTCATACTACATGTTACCTGAGAATATATGTTGTGAGTCTGCCAGTTGTTCCTCGTGCACACACAGAGCGTGAAGATTGACTGATCATGATGAAGAACTGAAACCAAGTGTGTTGCTATCAGCTTATGCAGAAATATCAAGAATTAGACACGGTTTTAAAGCCCCGCAGTTCTAAAGAGGAAGTATAGACACACTGGTACAAATTTGAAACCACACTGTGTGTATTCATTATATTTACAACAACCATTTTGTCATCACAGAAGGTCTAAGGCTGTTCTGTCCACATTCCCATGATGACAGATCAATTTCCAATTCTAAAGTGAATAAATGCAGTAGGCTTGTGAAAAACCCCAAGGCTCATGAAATAACTGTGGTTATTGTTTCCCCCCAACAAGATGCTTTGTCCTCGGACAAATTCATGCAGAATGTTTTTAGATTTAATTTCTGCTTTTTTCTCAAAATAGAACACCTTAAACATATCCAACAGATTTAATCTGCAAACGGGCTGACAAGTTTGATATACTGACAGAAAATGTGTCACATCTTCACAATTGGCATTAAACTGAACAACAGCATTTGGAGAACTGTTACAGTTCAGCTTATTTTCAGCACATAAGATACCAAGGACAAGATGCACACAAATTATAAGAATCATGACTGACAAAACTCAAACCACAGGGTCACTACATGGTAAAATACAGTAGCATATGCATTTCATTACAACTGCATTTCTGCACAGAACATAAAGGTGTTCTTTGGCTGCTAATTGTACCACAAAATCTGATGTTTGTGTAATGATACTGCATCTGCAGAGCTGCTCACTGGAGGATTATGTTCATTCCACAACAACCTACATGTAGTAGCTCACTGAAAGAGAACTTGGATCATTCAGAATTATGTACTCACATTTTTACAGTATAAACATGTACACACATTCATTTATGGAACAACTCCAATACTAACGCTATATTTAATACCTACATAAACGTCTCCGCCACTTGTTATCTTGATGCAGGAAACCTATTTTCTCATACTTTGTGCTTCAGGGCCACTGCAAAGTGAAATGAGTTCCTATGCATCAAGTTGTATATTTTGTGTAATACAGTGTCAAGTGGTTTTTTTTTTTAGATAAACTTGCCCAGCGCTAAATGTACCAATAAGTCTGATATGTGTTCTGTAATGCCATGACAGAACTATGACTTGCTATGAAAATGAGCCACAGTGTTAAGAGATCTGCCTCAGGCAAGTTAACAACATGCTCTCTCTCGTTTTCTCCCCTCTCCCTGTGTTTTACTTTCTTTGTTTCCATTTTCCTCACTCTTCATTCTTTTTCCCACACTCTCATGCATTCTGTTTGTGTCTCTGTCACCCATAGGTTCCAGCAGTAGATGCTCTCTGCTTCATTAGCTTGGACTCCCTGGCTGCCTCTGCTGCTGCTTGATTCACTGCACTGTGAGTGTACTCCTGTGGTTTGTGTTGATATGTTTGTCCATTTGTGTTTTGTTTGTATCTTGATAGGCTTTTCATGCTTCTTTAGTTAGCATTAGTTAGCGGTGGCAGCACCCACACTTGAATTAATGGCTTACCAAGCCCTCAGTTTATCCTCTGCAGTAGCTGCTTTCTCTGAAAAAATTTTGTGGTACACATTTGAACTGTGAGGATACATGTTTGTGACTAAAAGTTGATGCCAAGAGAGTCTGGTTACTCCCCGTGGACCATGGAGTCATGCTGTGGTTAGCCTCTCATGCTGTGTTCATTATGCTGCCCATTCCACTCTCTGCACTGCTCCACTACACTCTGGCATTTGTATGGCAGCACTGACTTTCTCCAGAACAAAAACTGTAGACACACAGCCAGAGTTTCCAGATTGAGTGACAGACTGTGATACTGTGATTGCAGTTTGCTTATTGGTGTATGAAAACAACGTCTTCAATCCATATTTGATTTGATATAAAAGTATTACAGCTGGTTTTGTATTTTTGGACAGTGGGATCTTAACAGCCACTGCCAGCTTTTCTTTGTGTCCTTTTTTGTCTTAACTCTGGTGGTTACCAGCTGTGCTCTTCCAGGTGGCTGCTTTTAGTTTTTCTTGAGAGCTTTATCTTGTGAATTGATTTTTATTCCTCTGTGTCAGTGATAGCTGCGACTCAATGTTGAACTGATCAGATTTTGGTGATCAAAGGTCATTGACCTCACATCTGTCTCATTCCTGTGAATTTGACTGGTTGGCGGAGGCATACAACCTGTGAAGTTATAATTCTAGTTTCACCATGAAAAGCTCCTTTTACATTACACATAATGATGTGATCCAGTGTCAACATTAAAATATTTGTTAGTGCAGCTTTAAATTCTTGGACATGGCTTTGTTCAGTAATAAATGTTCATCCAGCGGTGTTAACATTTACTGATTTACCATTGATGTGATTGTCATGCTTTTATTATCCAGCTAATGATCTATGTTTCCATATGTCTTACTGCCAACTGGGCAGAACGCAGCCATCTCTGTTGTCTCAGCAGTAGAGAATGTAGGATTGTAGAACTGTAGTGCGATTTGTGTGTGTGTGTGTGTGTGTGTGTGTGTGTGATTTAAGTAACAGACCTTTATTTGGAACAATGCATAGCCTCGGAAAGCCAAGTTCTGTAAGGGAAAGAAAGTCCTTTTGTCTTATGAGTTCTGCTTCTCTTTTATGAAAAACCATGGTGACTTGATATATTTCTTTCCACCATGCCAAGATAAAAAATATATATTTACATTTACAGTAATAAGCAGCAAACATTGGCTGGCAACAAAAGTCCCCCTTACAACCAGGAAGCATGTGAAATCTTTTATTTTTCATTTTCTCTTGTTTAACGAGACCCATCAGACTTGATTTCACCAACTCAAATGCCTTGGGGCTAGTTGGAGAAAGCAAGCAGGAAGCGGAGGTACTGTACCTTGTGTGAGCTGCTACACAAAGTAATCATAAGCTCTCTTTCAAAGCTTATGAGCCACATGAATCTGCTCGCTTTGTCTTCTGTGCATTTCACAGTGATGGTGGTGTATGATGGCATTAGCATGCTCCTGCTCTGCCTTCTGAGGTGTCCATTCACTTCTGCTGCTTTTGGTTTGTACTTGGCAGTCAAGAGCAGGGAGGTGTTGAGTTCAATGTAATTGGATGATGTGTTATTGCCTTTCATGCTCTTGATGCCAGCACTTCTTTCTTGGCCCATACCCCTCATAACCTTCCTCAAAGCTTCTAAGACAAAAGATTGTTCATACTTCTTCTCTTGCGTGACTCTTTTTAGTGTTTCTTTGGAGGTGACGCTTCACTGACTTGCCATTTTTTATGATACAGGTCTGGTTCACACAGCCGTTATGGCTTTTTCTTT